ACCTCCAGATTACAACACCAGTGCCCTAAACCACTCGGCCACGCTGCCTCCATATATATGATCAACCATTTTTTATAAGTCAAAGCACATGGCCTGAATTAAGAAATAGGACTACTAGTATTTTGGGACTGAATTTCTAAAATGTAAACCACTCAGTAGTATCTAATTTTGGGAGGAAAAATCAAACAGAGCAGAAATTTGCCAAGGGAATCATTTGAATATTTGGGTTAATCTAATGTGGTTGTCCTCTTTTTATCACAAACCTTTTCCATTCAACTGCAATCAGCTGGGAAACTGTGCTATTGTATTAAGCCACTGGAAATTTTTGGAACTGCAAACCCGCTAAACACCCACTAAAGGATATGAATTCTCCAGTCATGGTACATGTAAACATAGTAAGAGTGTTCTGTATTCACCTGCCCCAACATTGTTGTATTTACAGTGGAACCTTGATATAACAAAGGGCCAAGGGACTGGCAAAGTATGCTTGCATTTAATTTAACAAGGTTTCGATATATTGGGGTTCTTTTCCATATATTTCATTATTACTGGGGTGAAGAATATTGTTCGTTATACTGAATACTTTGGTAAATAGGGCTTTGTTAAATTGAGATTCCACTGTATTTAATTTTTTATTTTATTTATTTAAGTTATTCAGCGTCAAAACTGCAAAACTATTCAAGACCTCGACGAGAAGAATTCAAGGCTTACGTAAAGAATGTTCCTATAGATATGACTAAGGTGAGATGTCTACATTTTGTTGAAAATATGAGTGCAGGGCAGGAAATAATCACAATATCATGAGCTTTTTGAGCAAAATCATAGTTATAGTTAACTGCCATGTTTTTAAACAAAAGAGCACCTAAACTTTAACAGCCTGGTTTTGAATAAATTTAGTCTTAAAGAATTCCCATAAAATATGTTCAGACTGTGATCAGCTGCTAAAAGTTGTGATGTTGTGTCTCTAAAAAATCAAAATGAACCATCTAGAAGTTACTTGCAATGCACATGTAACTGATTTGTTTCTAAGCTGGCACTGCCATATACAGGAAGTTGACAGCAAACGTACAAAGCTTTGTCGCTTCTAGTCAACTTTATTGTCTGGTTTCACTTTTAGGAGAGTCTTGAAGCATTTTTCAGAAGTTGTGGGAATGTAATATCAACTCATATCGTGGATCCCAAAGAGGGAAGGAACAGTACTATTGGGTTAGTTAATAAAGTTTACTTGATAATAGTAATGAAAAATAATTACTAATGATAATTGTTCGTGCAGGGTTTTGGGATTGTCCCAAGAGTTCCTGGGTGAATAAGGAGTTAACCCTTTGAGCCCCAATTACGCATATATGCATAATTAATGGTCGTGCTCTTTGTACCACTTGTGACATCATCAATTTAAGTGTCATCAGATATTCTTGATAAGCATCAAACTTTTCACGGCAGCCAGAAAGAACATGCAACGCAAAAGGTAGCCAGAGTAAAAGGGCCGAGAAAAAAAGAAAGGAAAGGGGCAACAAACAAAATTGAGAACGGGTAATGGCAAAAAAAAAAAAAAAAAGAAAGGAGAAGTCCAAATTCTGGCTTATGCACATGCCTGGAATTGAAATATTGCTCAATTTTGTATGTAATCCTCGAAAAATCTCTCCTTTTGGTAAAAAAGAACCTTCTTGGCAAAACTTAGGCTTAAACCTGACTAAATGGTTAAAAGCGGTATTTTTTTGGTGAAAATTTGGTATTCAAAGGGTTAATGATGTTTTTACATAAAATAATTTGTATACAGAGTGAATCTGAGTCGAACAGCTAAGTGCACAAGGTGGTTGCAGGCAAAACTTTCTAGATGCCCAAGGTGCTATTGAGAAGATAAGATGATGTGATTGATTGCTGTTGTGTCACTCAGCATTTGAAGTCTACAAAATTAGTTCATCAACTGAACCCTGACTCTTTAATACTAACAAAGTGGACATGTGACAGGAATCTCTCCACAACAGGCAAAGAAAAAACAAATCAATGTAATTAATAAGTAATTATTGTTCTATTTCACAGTTTTGTGGGATTTTCATCAGAAGAAGAGGTCAACAATGCAATAGAGAGAATGAATGGTACTATGTTAGGAGACAACCAGCTAACAGTGCAAAGAGCAATTCAACGAGACAGGGGTACTGGAACATCCAGGAGAGGTCAAGATGATCTGTATCAGAGGAAAGCAGATTTTCAATATTCTACTGGTTAGTCTTGAAAGTGCACTTTAGGTCTGAAGTCATACTTAAACTGTTTTTCAAAAAAAGATTACTTAGTCGTAGAAGAGGAAGAAGGGTAGAAATCTTGTCACAAAAGGCATGTATGCAGTGCAGCTAGGTATGGGTGGCTTAGTACCCAGTGGGTTAAGGTACACAGTAAGTGCTTTGATGACTGCTGATGAGAATCTGGCTAATACTGCCTATTACAGAATGATGTGTATTTGGTAGACAACTAAAGGATTGCACAAAATGTGAAATAAACATTATCTACATGACTTTGTACATGTAGTCTGCATAAAGCCATCTTCAAGAAAAATAACAGAGGGAGATCTGTGTACTGCCATTTATAGGTAATCATATTCACGAATTAAAACCATTTCAATGTCACAACATCTGGCACATTGACATGCAGAGACAACAAAGAAAATTGTTGTCTGTATGAGAGTGAAGTATCAGTGTGTCGAATGAGTCAATGAGGCAAGTCAAAATTTGTTGAAAATTTGCGATTACAAAAGAAAATGATTCTATTTATGAAAAAACCCATTTCAAAGGATCACATGATGTCTTGAAATTTATATTTGGCTTTGCACAATCTCTCTCTTTTTTGTTTATGAAGTAATGTCTTTAAAAGAAAAACACTTAGCCCTGCATCCTGGGAGACCCAGGGACAATTAGTTAAGGCAGGAGGAAATAAATCCTGCAGAAATTGAAGCAGCAAAAATTTACAAGTAAAACTGCTAAGCCTTCTTTTATTATTTTGTTTTAAAAAATCCACCTAATGAAAAAAATAATAACGTTTATTTACCCTCGCCCAGGCCCTTGGCAGTGACTGAAAAGCAAGCATCATAAAAATTACTTTGAATGTGTAAAGTTCAAACATGTTGCAGGTGCAGAGTGCACAAGAAATAATCCTTTGATTATCATTGTCCCATTCCCTCTATGTAATGCATAGAATCATGGGAGTTGTGTGCAATTTCCCGAAGATGTGTGATGAATACAGCTACCATGATTTCCTGCTGCAAGTTTTATAGAGCTAATTAGGCAATAGTAACTTTGGGACTGCATAAAACCTATGCAAGGGTTGTGGGAATCACAAGCAAATTGAGTTGAAAATAAGCCACTACTTCAGGAACATGTTCCAGAAACAATTCCCTATGTCCCAGAAGCAATTACATGACCTTGAGCACATTATTATTAATGGTGAGTGCTGCCATGGCTACAAGTTATCATGACAAGGAGCCTGAAATGTGACAAGCTGGCAGCTTGAATGGTCAGTTATAAATTTTATGCAGTTGAGGTAGGCTTACAGTCCTCTCATAGTTAAAATTAAAATACACCTTTCTGGAAATTTAAATTTGAAGAAATAAGCATAAAGAATGGCCTGCTAAAATGAGAACATTGAGAATCAAAATTGATGGACTGAGGGAACACACAGTAATTATAATTTTCTCAAATGATATAGGGTTCACATTTTATTTTTGGAAACAGAACATTAAAGTGGTTCGAGAAGTGCATATAAATGAAGATAAACTACCAAAATGAAAAGCAAAAACTACAGGTATAAAGAAATGAGCTAAAAATTGAAATGACCCATTGGTTTAAAGAAAAAAAAGAAACAAGTATTACAACTTATCTTTAGAAAGATAACTTTTTGTTGTTAGAGGCAAAAAAACATGTTCTTTCATCTGTGAAATCTCACATTTTCTAACATACTGTCTGTGATAAATTTAATTTCACGGAGTGAAAGTCTAAAGATTTGTAAGTCCAAGTTGAGCAGCTCATTGTCACTTTGATTAGGGGCTCAGCCATGCCATTCCCCACATTTTTCAAGAAACATTTCCATGCTAGTAAATCGAACTAGAAAATTGTTGAGTATTTAGCAAGCATTTGGGATAATTGATAGTCTTCAAGGTTAATTAAAATGGGAGAGACTAGAGACTGTTAAAACAGCTGATTTAATTACTTAAGATGTATGTGTTATATGTAACGGCTTTTCATTCTTGGCAGGTTATAAAAATGGTCAGACACCATTTCAAGGTCACAGAACAGAACAACATGAACAAGCTGTCGGAAGGGGGGCAGATTTTGTTCAGCGCAATAATTATATTCAGCAACCTGCTGCAATGCCCAACTGGCATAACAACATGGGTGGGAAAGTTGAACAAGCTGTGTTTAATCCCAGAGGACCTGGTCGGGGGATTCCTTTGCAGACACATAGTCCCAGTCCTACACCAGGGAGAGACAGCAATTACATGAATGGGGTAGCTAATGGCTACTCAAGTAATGCTCAAGGTAGAGACTTTCTTTTCATCCATTTTTACATTATAAACTAAGGACAAAGTATGAAAGAAGCCTTTGCATACAGTGCCTGTATGTGCGGTGCTACCAATCCTAATCTGAACAATAAACTTCTATGTAAGATTTAGTAATTGTAATGTATAATTAAGTGCTTTAGTGTCTAGTTTGAGTGGTGTATGCTGAACATTGATTAGTTATTTTTAAGATTTTTGTAATTCAATCTAATTTTCCTTTCTGAATTTTTGGTGGCTGCTGTTCACATTCATCAGAGTTGCAATCTGTAGGTTTGTTATTGTTCACACTACAAGCCTGTTTGCTGTTGTTTTATTTATTATAATTGTGATACAATTTAGCCAGTTGTGGAATGATGCGATGCATACAAGTCTAGATGTACAAATTTAGGAATTGTGTTTTAAAAGAATAAATACAAACAATTTAATGAGTCATGAGAGGCCAGCATTGCATTTTTGCTTCATTGAGTTTACCAATTACGCTCTGAAATGTTGAAACCAAGTGTAACACTACAATTTATTACATGGCCAAGAGAGCTGAGAGGCCCAATAGTTAAAATGAAGCTATCAGAGTGCTTTATTACTGGTTCTATGTTTTTTAAGTGCTACAGTTTATCTGGTGATGTTTTTACATAGCTTTTTCAATCATTAATTGGTGTAATAAATCTGTTGTCAGTCACACTTACTCAGTGTTGTGCATCAACTGGGAGAAGTACTTCCTTTGTTTTGTTCATCCTAAACGTACCCTGGGAGAATATCAGCTCTCAGCCTTTTCTTTATGGATTTTGCTGTCCTTGATTTGTACGGTCAAGTTCTAGGTTTAACACTCCCCCAATACAGCTCTAGCACTTAGTTAATGAGACTCCTGATTTGAAATGGTGTGAATGCCATGCTTACTTACTTAGGTCAGGTGAACTCAGCTTCATGGACAAATCAAGGACCCCAGCAGTGGCATCAGTCTGGTCCTGTTGATAATCAGAGTGGACAGTTTACACACAGTACTATGCCTCAAGACCCATACACCCAAATGGATCAACAGGGACAATTTCAAAATGGTACAGTACTTTTGTACATGGTGTGGTAATGCCATGTGATTATTAAC